GCCGCGCTCCTGCCCTGTGGAGGAGTTGGCCAGCGAGGAGGGGATTTTCCCCCTTCCTGACCTTAGAGGCCTTGTTGCTGCGAAAGCTGCGGGGGGCTCTTGGAGCGCTCTCATCGCACGGAGCCCAGGGGCTGCAGCCAGGGCTGCTTTGTTATCCCTTCCCTGAAACAGGGCGGGAGCTCTGGGGGCTGATAACCGTGGATCGTGTCCGAGCCGGGGAAGCTTTCCTGCCCGACTCCTGGCAAAGCACGAGCACGGTGTCTGGCTCGCAGGCACCGCTTGGGGCTTTTTAAACTTGGTTCGGAGCCTGGGATCTCTCACCCAGATTTGTGAGTCGAGATCAGATCTTTCCAGGGAGATTCTTCTAAGTAAAAGTTCGATAAAAAATGATCAATGTGAAGCAGTAAGAGCTGTTCTCTTTCATTTGAGAGCTGGGGATTGAAAGCTAAACCCTACGCTTGATTTAAGGCAAGCTGGGATGGCTCTGTGACCAGCGCTGTGTCTTCAGCAGTGAGGCGATGGCAGTCTGCTCCCGGGCTCTGGGAAGGGGTAGCCGATTGCTGGAGGGAGAATCTGAGAGCCCTTTTTCTCCCTGCATGGTCAGGATTCGTGGCTGGGAAAGCGCAGGCTGCTTTCTTGTGCTCCTCTGGAGCGTCCGCTCATGGCCGCAGCCAGCAGCACCGAGCACCTTGGCTGGTTTGCTCCGGGCTCGTCCCAGCCGGCTGCCGGGGAAGCGGAGATGAGCGGGGACTTGTCACCGGTGATCGGCGGGTCTCCGGCAGCTTGCGAGAGCGTGGCTGGTAGGGATGCAGGGGGTGAAGCTCTGCCTGTTCTGTTTGTACAGGGAATGTTTCGGATACCAAACTCTTCACAGAGACACTTGTGATGACTGTAAATTTGTGGAGACTCACTACTAAATTTAGCTCTTATCAAGGGGAAGATCAGACTTGTCCCTTTCCAGATTTGGAAGAGAACCTAACAGCTCTCTTTGCTTTGAAATGAAGCCGTAGGTCCAGGGTCTTTCCGAGCTGGACGAGGTATGGTCCATATCTCCTGGGCAAAGCAAGACCCAGGCGCCAGCTAACGGAGCTCACAGGAGTGACGGCAGTGCTCTAGGGGTGGCTTGGGTACGTCTTGGGTCTTCAGAGCTTCCTGAGGCTCCTGGGGGGCCTGGGCATGATGGAGGCCAGCTGTTGTGGGCAGGTTGGAGCATGTTACTCACTGTAGCAGTGCTCCGGGGCTGCTGGGGGCAAGGCAGAGCAGTTTGCCTAGGAGTGACAGAGGCGAAGGCGTCTGTGCCGTGTTGCCCCGGAGCAGCTGTGGCTCGGTGGATGGCAGCACCAGCTCCTGAAATCGCTCACCTTTGCTCTCTGAGCCTCCTTTCCCATTCTTGTTCACCTGGAAGCTTCAGTTCAGGTTTAGGGAAATTCACTCAGGTTCTGGAGCTGCAGGGGATCGGGAGATGGGTTTTGCCCTGGCAGAGTGGTGTGTGTGAGGCGAGCAGTGTTTCCTCCCCTAATTCTGTGGTCTCCTTGCGTTTGCCGTGTTGTACTGCTGAGAAGCGATAAAAACTGCAAGACGCAAGGGGGTGCATGAGCCTCAAAGAAGTTTTAGTTGTGCCTGAAGTCATTAAACATAATTCAGTAACCAATAACACGAGAAATCATCGATAGGAATGGTCAGTGAGGTTCAGACCAGGGTGAAAGCAGAGCAACGAGGGCGGGTGAGGCTGGCGGGTTCGCAAGGGCAGCTGATGTGTGATGGGTCTCTGGGCTGGTCCCGGCACCGTTCGAAGGCTCCACAGCCGGCTCTGCCTTGCTCATGGCTTTTGTGCTTTCTTTTTCGCAGGAACGGGGTGAATGTGGAAGGAGCAACACACAAGCAAGTGGTGGACCTGATTCGCGCCGGGGAGAAGGAGTTAATTCTGACGGTGTTGTCTGTGCCTCCGCACGAGGCAGACAATCTCGATCCGAGCGATGACTCTTTGGGGCAGTCATTCTACGACTACACGGAAAAACAAGCGGTGCCCATCTCCATCCCCACGTACAAGCACGTGGAGCAGAACGGCGAGAAGTTCGTGGTCAGTATCGGCCTGGGCAGTGCTTTCTGGAGCTGGGGTGCTCTGCACCCCGAGCTGGCGTGCTCCCTGCTGTTAGGGACCGTTGGTGGCAGCGCTCCCTTTTTGTCTTTACGAGGGAGGCACGTTGATCTGTTATGGACTGGTTTTGGCACTGTCTTATTTCGGCTTGCCTGTCCTCACTCTTACTGTGTATCTGGAATAGCTTGATCTCTTGTGAAGATGAAGTAGGAAGTTAATATTTTGTTCATGTAAGCTTTTGTATTTGTGCCTCCTGTTTTACACCAAGCGTTGGGGACATCTGTGGTGGATGTAAAAGCAAAGGGAGCAGATGTCTGGAAGCGTAGCTTCCCATCTACGGAATGTCTCCTCCATCTCCCCCTTCCCTTCAGGGACCGTCGGGGGAAAGAGCTGTAAGAAGTCCTTTTCCTTCGGGTTCCCCGCCTCTTCTGTTGCGTTTACTGGGGAGACTGGCGCTCGTTTTCCGAGCTGATGCGCTCTGTTGTCTACGTACCTGACGTGGGTACATCTCTGGCTGATCAGGGGTGGCTGGCGAGGAAACTCTTGGAGAGGGACGCAGACCGGGTCGGACAAAGACGCTCATCTGCAGATCTCTGTCCTCTCGCGGCGTCTGGGCTGTGTTTAACCCCCTCATCGCCTGGGCCTTGCTTAGGCCTGCTGCTCCCCGCCTGCCTGGGCAGCGTCCACGGATGCTCGACCTGCAAACCGGGGG